AAACCAGGAGGGGAGCAAGGAAGGAACACAAGGGATAAACTAGGAGAGGAGCAAGGAGAGAACACAGGGGATAAACCAGGAGGGGAGCAAGGAGGGAACGAGGAGCAAGGAGGGAACAAAAGGGATAAACCAGAGAGGAGCAAGGAAGGAATACAGGGGATAAACCAGAGAGGAGCAAGGAGGGAACACAGGGGATAAACCAGGAGGGGAGCAAGGAGGGAACACAAGGGATAAACCAGGAGGGGAGCAAGGAGGGAACACAGAGGAACAGCCAGGAGGGGAGCAAGGAGGGAACACAAGGGATAAACCAGGAGAGGAGCACCCAGCAAACACATCCCAAGCCCACAGCACAAGGGACAAACCAGGAAGGGAGCACCCAGCAAACATCACAAGAGCAGAGGGAAGGTCACACAGGACTCCCCAGCACTGAGCATACCACTGTTCCTGTCCCTGAGGTGGTCAACTTCCCGCACAGTATTAATTGAGAGATTGTTTATGACACTGCCAGGAGTGACGTAAGGGTCAGTTTCGGGGTCGATGTTTGGATAACCTTTCCATGGCTCACCAGGGCGAAACTCTAGGAATACAGATGCAGGAAAGAAGCTTATTTTCACTACATTTTTACAAAGGAAACGTCTGTCTAAACAATACATCTCCTAACGACTGAAAACCCAAAACCTTTTAAGCATTTCATTTACTTGACTTAGCCATCACTTTGTCAATTTAATTTCTGGTTTCCCTGGCAGATACACTTCCCTCAGTGCAATAAAAGTGCCACTGTCCATTTCCATCTGCTGAGAAGGCCCCAGGTGCCCCCGTGGCCGGGCAGGGCAGTACCTGGGGGCCAGTTAACACTGCTAGAGCCATTAGGCGATTTGGCACGGGGCCAGCCGTCCCCAATGGAGCCGGGAGGACTGGCTGGGGAGTTACTGCTGTTCAGAAAGTCGTAAGGAACAAACGGAGAATCCTCCAGCCTGAAACCACTTGAAATAGCACCTGTGAAAAAAAGAAAAAAATAGCGGTCAAGTATTTCTCATGGCTGGTTTTTATATCCCTATATTGATATATATATAAATCATGCCCTTGTAAATCATTCATGAAATGTACAGCAGCACGCTGTCCTCCTGTGATCCAAGTTATACTGGAGATCATACAGGAGAGTGTGACTCAAAATGAAACATGTCTGAGTAATTCAGGAGAAAACTGTAAGAACAATCTCCCGTGAAACCCCTTCACATATACTCAAAGTAACATGTGTTCAACCCGAGTAAAGCATTAATTCCAGAGGTAAGAGCATTCTGTGGGACCCCACTTGACTAACAGGGTTCTGTGGTGGGAGAGCTCATGAAAGAAACAGCTACAACATGTGAAGGATCTTCAGCCACTGCAAAGCCCTGTAGATTCTATTCCTGCTTTTGGGAGGCAAAAAAATTAATTTAAAAATCCCCAGAGACAGAGAAAGCAACGGTTTAAAAGTTGTCAGAAGCAAAGCCAGTTCTGCTGCAGTTCTGAGTGAACCAGGGATTGCATGAGACACAGAAATTCCTGGCTCTGGTCAGAAAACATCACCTACAGGTAAAGCAACACCACCACTGCCTGTGGCAACAGCAGGAGGGGCTCAGCAGGGCAGCTGCAGGCAACGGCCACTGCAGGCTACCAGAGGCAGCTCAGAGCAGCAAAGCAGCTGATGCACCTAAAAATACCCCCAGCATCTGAGACTGAACAGTAACAGGAGACTGGGGACATTTATAACTATCTTTAGACACAGATTCTTGGGCTATAGACTCAAATTTTAACTGGATGATTTCAAGCAACTGAAACAGCTGAAATGTCATATGAATCTTGATTACTGGAATGAAACACGAAGCAACCAAGTTCACCTCCTCTAAAACTAAGGACAGCAAGGGTACCAAGTCTGGCCCTTCTAAGCTCTTCCCAATTTTAGAATGCAAACACAGACATTCATAACCAAAACCTGCCAGTAAAAATGTCAGCCATGCCCAGAATGCAGTAAATCCCCCAAAATCACCTTAGGACAGAAGGGTGGTGGGAGAGAAAACCTGAAAACCAAGCTTTTGGCTCAAAAATATATGAAGCATTCCACTGGAGATTAAGGTAAAGCTAGTATCAACAGTCAGTTACAGAAAAGTCTGGTTAAAAAATGAATTCTGTAGAATGTTTCTACTAATCTCATCACGAGATCATTCTGTGAGCACAGTCAGCAAAGCTGTGGCTGCTGTGGCAGACAAGCAGCAAGCTGGCACAGACAGCACAACAGAAACTGTGACACAGGGGTTACAACCACAGCCCAAACCAACTCTGCAAACCTGCAGTGACAGCCAGAACCCCGAGGCTGACCTGCCTCAGGTGCTGCTCAGGGAATGCTGGACATACCATGTTTGCTGGAGTTCTGATCCAAGGATGTGTTCATAGAAATGCTGTCGACTGTAGTCCATTTCCTCAGCCGAGATTGTGGCTCTTTAATACTGCTCATATCCAGGTTTACATTCAAGTTTGAGTTCATTCCTGAAAGCACACACATTGTGAGACACAGACCCAAGCTCTCCCTCTGCTCATCACCACTGCTGCCCCAGAAAGCACCGAAGAGCACGTTACCATGGTTATGGCATGCTTCCATCTCTGGGTCTCAGGAACATTCTAGCACTTAAACCAGGGGCCTCTCTGCACACAGAAGCTAAGCTGAGCAATGCAAAGCACCCCCAAGTTCTCAGCTCATGTCTTCATGCAAAAATGTCAGTGGAAGAAGACATCAGGAAGTTAAGGGAAACTAAAATGTGAATTTTTAAAATAGGGGGCACACAGAACTGGTTGTGAGCTGCTGTAGCTGTGCTCTGTACCTCAGATGTTTCTCTGCCAGAGAATCAAGACAATGCCAACCCAAACCAGCTCAAACACCTGGAAGAACCAGGCTCTTCTGGGCTTGGACAACGTGCCCACATTTTTGACCTTGGCATGCCTGCTCCCTTTCAGGTCTGTAAGAACCCTGAACTCACAACTCTACCTGGGACCTTTCCAGCCCTTCATATCTATTCACTTCTTCTCTGAAAACAAACCACTACAAAGGCTTAACCTGAGAACAGAAACATACAGGAAGCTTCTCATATGTCTCCTAGAGACACCTTCCTCCAGCACTGGAAACAGCAAGGGCTTCCTCCTGCTCCTGAGTGCACATTCTCAGCCTGAAAGAACATGTCTCCTAGAGACACCTTCCTTCAGCAAGGGCTTCCTCCTGCTCCTGAGTGCACATTCTCAGCCTGAAAGAAACTGGTTTACTTTCTGAGGGGTTTTTGTTTGTTTTTCTTAAAGGCAAGAGCAAGAGCTGGTGCCAGAAAAGCCTCCTCTTTAAATGCCTCATGAAAGTGCTTGGAACAGGATGGAGTTTTAAGAAATGTAACAACTATCAATAGCTCAAACAGAAAAAAAGGGAAGTCCAGCTGATCCTGTTTCTAACACCTCCCTCTGGCATTCTGCTGTTGTCAGAGCAGTAACTCTGCAGCACAGTAACCTTCCCTCTACCTCTGGAGAAGCTGCAGAGACCAGACCTCTGAGAGAAGGCTAAGAAAGAGCCCAGGCTGGCAGAGGGGCACATCTGTGACCAGGCCAATGCCAGCCCCAGCAGGCACAGCCCTGTCACAGTTCTGATGGGACACGTTGGGCTGAGTAATGGATACCAGTCCCTGGATGTAATCCATAATTTAAACACTCTTCCCAGAAGTAATTCTTCATATCCTACTGTGGAAGACTTGCTATTATTTGCATCAGTTATACTATTAGTTATAGTATACTCAATAGTAGTTATTAGTTATATCAGTTATAATCACTACAAAGGTTGTTTTTATTAACAGAAATACTTAATTCTATAATGAACTGGGATGTGAGTGCAGAACTGGTCAGGGAGAGAAAAGGATGCTGTGACCCCAGTCTCTACTCTGGGTGAGTATCTAGTGAATCCTGACAAATCCCTTCCCTGGAATGGAAACAGAACCTCCTTGCTCTGCCTGCTGGGCCTCCTGACACTGTTGTGGGAGCACAGAGGAAACAACAAACCCACAGGATTTTCCAGGAGAGCTGGGCAAGGTGAGCTCCCTCCCACACAGCTACACCACCAGGCTGCTCTGGAGGGGACACCAGCTCTCCTCTGCACTCAGCTCTTCACTAAGGGGGAAGAAATTCCAGCAACATGCTCTTCCTACCCTTCAGCCTTCATGTGAGGACTGAGGGTGGCTCTGTGTGCTGAGCAGAGGGACCCCAAACAATTCCTGTGTATCCTGAGGCATCTCAAAGCAGCCTCACACACAGGGCAGGCTCCTGAGACAGGGCCATGACTCATGTGAGAGCAGCTGTGGGGCAGTACACAACAACTCCAGCTCAAGGAATGAAACACAAAGGAGCCTGACCTGGGCAGGATGCCACCCCTCAGCAGACTTTGGTGAGAAAGTGAAATATGCCTTTCCTTAGAGCTAACACAGTGTCTCCAACAGCTAAAAAACTTCCTTTGTATGCCTTGCAGAACTGGACATTGATGCCAATCATCACCAGCAGCTCTGAAGCAGCAGCTGGACTTGAGGCTGGCCCCAAGCCACCCCCAGTGTGGCACTGTCCTGGCCAGTGCCACTCTGCCTGCAAGCACAGGGAGCTCAGCTGCATGGCCAGGAAACAAACTTCCCTGCAGAGGCCAGTGGGAATGCAATCAGCCCAACAGAAATGACCCAATTAGAATAAAAGAGAAGAAAAGCAAAAATGAAGGGGAGGAAAGAAATGGGGGTAAGGAGCAGAGGTACATGGTAAACAGCTGTAGTAAGATAGCATTAAAAAGGGACCTAAAGTAAGAAGAAAATATACAAGCCTGGAATTTCTGAAGTAGAAATTGGACAGAAGCCTGAAAACGTAGGGAGAAAGAAACAGGAGATGTTTGTATTTATAAATGTTCAGACATTTTGCCTAATGAGACAACAATTCTTTAAAAATGCAAAGCCAAAAGCTTTCTTTCCTGGCCAAAACCACTAACAGGCAAAGGGACTGTTCTACCTTTGCAATTCTAGAGCCACTGAAAGCATTTTTGAAATCCCAAGAAATGTGTGTACATCAATGGATTCTTTGCATGGATTCTACTTCTTAAAATCCTTTAGCTCCAGGAATCAGGACTTTTTATCACCCTGGGGATGCAGAGGACAAAGGGAGCACTAAAAGGAGCCTGTCATTCCTCAGGACTGTAAAATATTCTGTACTGAGACAGGGACACTCACTGGGAATGAGAGTACTTGGGGAACAGCTATTTGGTGAGCAAGGATAACCCCACACAGAATTACTGCTTCCACTAAAATGGGAAGTACAGGGTTACAGTCACTTTCCAGGAGGAGGCAAGGGGGAAAGTGGGGCTGTGTGTCACACAAACACTGGCTGACTGCAGGGCACTCACCTATAGGGAAGCTGCTGAATGCATTGATTGGTGAGGGCCCTTTCTGCAGCTCAGGAGTAGTGTGGGGCATGACATTCTCAAGGAAGGATTTCATGGAGGGCTGATGGAGTGACTGCTGTTGAGAGGGTGGAGTTTGCTGCTTCATTAACAGGTTTGGATCAAGCTGACGGGACTGTTGCATCATCTGTTGCTGCATACTAAGAGATCGACCCTTAAAAAAAGCACAGCAGTTACCACACCAATGAGCAGAAGCTTTCCATGTTTTGAGAAGGAGGATGAAATGCACCTCTGTGCCCTGTGCATCCTGCTCAGCCAAACCCCAGCACCCAGTCCCTCCCCTAAAGCCCGTCCAACCCGACCACCCCTGCCCGCCTCAGAGCGAGAAACGCAGCTCAGGACGAAAAGCAGCTCTCAGCAGAGTCTGAGAAGTGAGAACCAGGAGGTTTCCTTACCTGCTGCTCCTGCTGCTGCCGACCCCCAGAAGGCACACTCCTCTGGGGCTGCGCCTTCTGCTGCTGAGCCAGCAGCCGCTGCGAGACAGGCCAGGGTTAGAACGGGGCACGCAGCGGGCTGCGCTCACTCACACACAGCCAGCAGCCAGCTCACCTGTAACTGGGAGATCTGGGAAAGCTGGTTTAACTGGGACAGTTGATTCAACATGGCTACCTGTTGCGGGCCAAAAAGTGGGCTCAGGCCACCGCTGTTTGGTGCATACTTCAGTAATGATACTGGAACCTGCAACACACACCAGGGCCAAAGGCAACTGTCACGGCTCTGCTCGGTCCAGCATGTGCAGAATACCTCTGGTCAACAGAGGCCTGGTTTCACCAAGCCAAATATGTTCCCAAATATTTACAGAATAAATATCAGCAACACCAAGAAACAAGGAACAATTTTCTGGAGCAGCGTTGAGATAGTTCGTACACAGAGTGTTTTCTGTATCACTTACCTGAGGGGATAGTAATGGAGGAGGCACTTGAGCACGTGGATTAGGCTGAGATGAATTAAGAGGTTGTGCTGGAGGCTGCTGCATGCTCCTGGGCTGTGCTGCTATATTCCCAACACCAAACACACTGGGATTGCCATTCTGGGGAAAGGATGGGCAGTCGGTGACAGAAAACCTCTTGGGCTGCTTCTCCCACCCCACACATTTCAATCACAAGTTAAACAGGTATCGATTACACAAGCAGCTACAATGTTATATCAAAAGGCATTAAATGCTGTAAGTAACACACCAAGGATATGCACGCAGCCTTACCTGTCTAACAGAATTCAAGCTTTGCATACCCAGCCCTGCTAGGGAGCCCAGGGCTTGGTTAGGTAGTGCATTATTTGAAGGGGGAAGCTTCATGTTTTGATTGGACATAAACTGCATGTTTTGGGACTCGTCTGCTACAATGCCATCCTGATGGGACAGACAAACCGAGGCGCAACAACCAGCCAGCAAGCAAGCAGAAGGGAGAAACCATTGCAGGAGCAGAAGGGAAGAGTCACAGGACAGTCCAGCACCAGCAGGAAATAGGCAGAAAACAAAAGAGATCAGGTTAGTCATCGGCACCGCCAAGGGCTACAGAGAGTGCTTAGTACTGTGTGTCAGTGAGTTAACCAGAACATTCCATGGAGTGACCAGCCCGCCCTCAGCCCCTGCAGCACCTGCAGAAGGCTGGGCAGCACGCAGGTCACTGCTCAGGACATGCTGAAGGAGCTCAGTCCCCACAGGGACCCCACTGACCTTATCGAAGTAAGGACCGCGATCCATGGAAGACTCTTTGGGAATTTGGGGACGAGAACCAGGGCCTTTTCCAACCACACGATTGTAATCTCCCACGCCCAGGCCGTGCTTGTCCATCTCCAGCCGCTTGTCCTGCAGTAACCCTGGGGACACAGAGGTGGCTGCACACCCTGGGGCCTGCAGCCACAGCCCCAGCAGCGAGCTGCAGAGCTGAGCTGAGCCGAGCCGAGCCTGGGCAGGACACCCCTGAACACACAGCACCCCAGCTCTGCCTCGCTGGGCTTCACTGGGACAGAAACCCTGGGCACCAAGAACTGCAGACAACTGAGGCCTGGGATCACCACCAACACCCTCTGCAAGGCTTCACACAGATACTGCTGTCAGCTGGCTCTTAAAACCAAGAATGGATAAGTGTTTAAACTTGCAATGATTCAAATATCAGGCTTGCTATTAATACTGAAATCGAAAACTCAAAGAACAATTCCTTCACCCGAAAGACTCTGAGCCCCAAAGTGAAAATACCCAATTTTGAATAAGGAGAGAGTAACTACACTAAAAACTACAATGTTGCAATGTTTAGTTTTAGTTAAACAGTCTATCATCATAGTACACTGTTATTAATGTATTAAGAATTATCTTTCATTTGCTAAAGAAAGATTAACAGTGAATGGAATCAAATAAACTGCAACTGCTCCCGAGTAATTTTACACTCAGGTTTAAACATTTCTAAAATAACTGTTCAGTACTAATTCAGTTCTTAGAACTGAACACAGGTTTCCAAGAATGAACCCAACGAGCCAGTGTGGGATTTGGTAAGTTTCTGTTTATACTCAGTGGAGGTGCCCAGAGGGCAATCTAGATACTTCTATTGCAAGAAACAAACCCACCACACCCTGAAAACATCCTCTCATGTCAGTTCAACACATATAAATATGAATAAGCTCAGTTTGATACGTGGCCAATATTCCTATAGCAACCAGGTGACTGTGTGTGCAGCATTACTCACACACACAAATACTCTTCTCTACAAGGACATTCCTTCTCTTTAGGGAAATACATACTTGACTATATATTGCTATATATACGCTGCATATCATTTCAAAAATGTAATTTACAGAAGGATATCAGGTAAAAGAGAGTATGGAAGAAAAAGCAATAAAGCCCAGCTCGGTTCTGCTGCTCTTACCTCCAGACATGTCCATCTTATTGCTCTGTATGGTTTCTTCTGGTGATTCTCTCTGAAGTAATAAAATAAATCACAGTTATTTAATAATAACAATTTTAAGATAAAACAAAGAGATCCCTGCACACTATTGCAAATCAAAACTGCAAGAAGAAGAATCAAGACAATCAGGTGCTACTTTAAAGCATTTCCTCCCTTCAGTTGCTATCCAGTCAAGAACAGCTTCCCTCACCAGAACCCCCAGTAAATGCAGTAAAGCCTCAGGCTGTGGGATGAATACCTGTAGTGGTTACAAAACCACTTTTCATCAATAAAGAGGTCCTTTTGCAATGAGAATGCACAGAAAAGGGATGGGTGACAGGGGAGACAAACACAAGTAAAAAGAAAACCACAATGCAAATGAACACTTGGCAATTGAGCATTTCAATGTCTGCACATTGTAACAAGCCCTGTGGAAAGGCAGCAAAGCCAGACAGAGACAAATACTTACTGAAAAACTGAGATTTGTGAATTGCTTAATGAATGGATTGATCCATGTTTCATCTTGCTTATTTCCACCTTTCATCATTCCCTTAAAAACAGAAAGGAATTCCTGTGATACTCAGATCTGACTTTAATTACATCACAGTGTAAAGAATGACAATTAAAGTGTACTGTGCAAGTGCAGCAATCCCTTCTGACTCAGCTTTCAGAAATGACTGCAAGCCTTGCCCCGAGCTGCTCCTCACCTTTGTGGGCATTTTCTTCATGTAGGGTGGCCAGTTTAACGAGGGGTTAGCTTCTTGTGAGGAACTGCTGTTCCACATTCCGATCTCCACATCCTCCTCTTCCTCCCAGCTGGTCTGACGACTGCCACTCAAGGGCATGTCATCTCCACACCAACTATCTTGCATAGATTTAGGCCCTGGTGGTGAAAAAACCCGGCAGTGAACATTCCAGCAGCAGCTCCAAGAAACAGCTCGGAGCCTACTGCAAGGTAACAACCCCTGGAAAACACGAAGCCTCCAGAGAGGGATGTCACCCTTCTGAAGCACGCTGAGGGCACTCACCAGGCTTGTTTGGAGGCTGCTGGCCAAGAGAAGCGTTTCCCCAGCCAGAGGTGCCTCCTGCCTCACTGACAGGCTCTCCCCAGCTCGTACCAGTGTCCATGGGCTTGCCCCACGCCGCCGTCCCGTTGTCTACAGTGGTGGCTGGAGCAGAAGGCTCTCCCCAACCTGTGCAAAGCAGGGTGAGTTATTGGCATCGCTCTGAACGGGATTTTAAAGCTGCCTAAAAGAGACTCAAGTGTTTTGCCTTTTCTATATGCTTAACATGCAGTAAAAAGCGCGTGAGCACGTGTTTCTATTTTGTGTGAGGGTCATTGTTACAACTGCAAGATGTTCCATTAATAAAAGTAATCACAAAAATACAAATTTTGTATTTACAGAATTACATTCTGATAATACAAATTTCTAAGATGCTAAGCTAAGAGCTGCTTGTTACATGTAACTGACCCCATCTGGCACTTGAAAAAGAGACACAGCACAAAATACTTCCTATATCCCATTTAGTTCTTCTCCAAAATCATTATTTACTGCTCATGAAGATACAAGACCAGGAAGTCTGATACCAAATCCTTATAAACCCATCACCCCTCATTCTGTCCTGCAGAAGCTCAACATGCTTCTGTTTCTTGAAGGCTCATTGGCAAAATTAAATTTTATCTGGTTTCGAATAATTTAGGAAAGTATCTAAATTCTTAAACACTATTTTAAGTATTTTCTCTGTGTTCCCACTCCCCAGAACTCAAGCAGAGCTGTTTAGCCCTTATTACTGCAGCTATTTAAAACTAGAGCAGATCTCCCAATCTGTACAAACACATCAATGCTCTGTGACAATGCTGTTCATTTCTTTAACAGAAACTACACTTCATTGCCACTTTGCCCTTTCTACTTTGAAACTAAAATATTGTTCTAAGAAGCAAGACTAAAAAAGAGCTTTACAGTCAAGAGAAAACACAAATCTGGGTAAAAGCCAGGCTTACCAGAACCCGAACTGCTCTCCTTGCTAGACATGGCACTTGAAGACAGTAGCTGCGGGTGTACCTGTGCTTGCTGGTCTGAACTGCTGCTACTGTTAGGGACGTTTTTATTCCACATATTCACATTTTTGTAGTTGTATTTGCTCGGATCACCCCAAGCAGAAGTTCCATCATCAATCTCCATCTTCCGGCGAATGGATTCGGGGGATGGCTCCTCCCAGCCCGTGGGCTCTTCCTCCTTTGCTGGGGCTGGCATTGGCCCCCCCAGCCAGCCGGACCCCGGGGGTTTGCTCGTGCCAGACTGGGCTCCCCAAGAGCCAACATCTTGTTTGTTCCACTCAGGAGAGTTGACTGGCTTTGACGAGTCCCCCCAGACTTGAGGCTGATTGGATTTCGGAGGGTCTCCCCAGCCCTGGCTCTGATTAGACTTGGCAGGCTCATCCCATCCTGAAGAGCTGTTTGGGGTTGCGTTGTTGCCTCCCCAAGTAACAGAATTTGATTTACCTGGCTCGTTCCAACCAGACACCGACCTGTCGCTGTTGCTGCCTCCAGAACTGGATTTCTTTGCCTCACCCCAGTGGTTACTTCTGGAGTTTTCACCCCAGCTATCACCAGCAGACACTGCCCAACCCTGGCTGGCCTTCTGTCCATCTCCCCATCCCTGCTTCATCTTCGGTGTGTCATTCCAGGATGACTTTTCTTCTTTGCCACTTCCCCATGATTGATTGCTCTTGACCATTACTGTAGCAGCAGAATCTTCTTCCCACCCCCCTTGGCTGTTTGACCCTTTGGAGTCTCCCCACCTTGTAGCAGACTTTGGATCTCCCCACCCCGATACAGATGAGGTATCGTTATTATTAGGGCTAGGTCTATCCACACACCCCCCTGAGCTGGAAGTCTGTGTCACAGAGCCCCCCCAGGCCTCTGTCCCATTGTCAGTTTTTCTTTCACCCCTCGGTGACGTTTCGGTATCCCAGGCAGTGTTCTGCTTGATTGGAGTCTGTCCCCAACCAGAGTTGGAAAGGACACGCGGATCTAGGTCAGTTCTGTTCACTATGCTTTGGAGTAACGTGTGCTGGTCGACTTTCCTCCTCTCTCGGTTCTGGCCCTCCGTAGCTGCTCTGTCCTCGTGGCACCCGGCGCTCTCCGAGCTCCCCTCGCTGTCCCCCGTACCTGTTTTGGCCCACGTGCTGCTCTGCTCAGCCATCTGCGAGGCAGCAGAGCTCTGGCTGTTGAGCTCCTCCTCCTCAGCAGACTTCCATCCATTTGTAAACTTCCTGCTGTTTCCATTGACGCCTTCATTGGAATGCTGGCCGCTGGGCAGTTTGCTCCATTCCCCGTTGGAAATGTTGGTGCCAGCGTTTTGTGCGGGGCTGCCCCATCCTCTTCTGCTCCCGCCGGCACCGGCACCGCTCCCGTTTCCCCACGGCACGTTCTGGGAGCCGACCGTCCCTGCCTCCCACACCCCTCCGCCTTTACTCCCGTTGATTTGAAAGTTAGTGCTGCCAGGCCCGCTGCCGCCCGGCTGCATTAGAGTTGCATTCACAGTGTCACCATTAGCTTGGCTGTTTGGGCCTGGACATTTGTCTCCAGAGTAACTAGAACCATAGGCACCCCAGGTAGTACCGTAAGAGCCGCCAGTTTTGGCCTCACCGTTGCTCAGGTGAGAGATGGAAGTGCCGTTTGCCACTGGAGAGGCCTGAATCTGAGAATGATTCATTGTGCTCACGCGCCAGGCCCCGGGCCCTGCGGTGTTGGGCAGCTCGTTCATCTGCACCGAACCAGCAGAGTTTGGTAAACTAGAGGTCATAAAGTTAGTAGTGTTATTTGGTCCATTCATTTCAGTGTTAAGGTTTTGAGGTTGCCCACTGAATGAAACATTCCTTGTACCATTTACTTCAGAATCACAGCTTTCCTGAAGGCTTCCCCAGGAACCGTGGGCTGAGCCACCCACTTTCGAGTTAATACTCTGGCTGTTGGCCATCTGACCTATGGTACTGCACTGAATGCTTGTGCCAGGACTCCCACTCCCCACGGACCCTTTCAGGGCATGTCCACTGTTCTCCAACACGGACCAGGCACCATGGCTGCCATTTGAATTCAAAGTGCTTGGATTTAACCCTCCATTTGATGAAGAGCTTATGGTGCCCCAAGCATTCATTCTATTGTTGCTACTTTCAGATTTGCTGTCAGGAGCATCCACAGAAACTTGACATGTGCTTATTATGGACCCGTGGGACAACCCCCACGGCCCATTAATACTTCCATTGCCCACATTATTGCTGTTGCTACCAACCACAAACTTATTCTGAGACCCATGTCCGAGGCCGTTGCGAATGCCATCGCCTTCTCCTGCTGTGCTCCCTGAAGCCATGATAACGAGGTTCCGCTCCGACCCAGAGCTGGAGGCAGAGTCAGTGTCCATACATTCTGAAGTCAGCTCTGGGTCACTGCCAGTGATTGATGGCCATGCTTCTTTGTCAGAGCCGTCTACGATAACTTTATCCCAGTTTGTGCTGGAGTCGCTATTTGAAGAGACTGGTCCCCAGTGAGAATTTTCATAATGGGATCCTAGACCACTGTGGTTCAGATCTAAAATGAAGAAGGAAAGCCCAAGAGCATTATTATGAGTTTAGTATTATTGCTTCATTAAGTGGAAGAGGAAAAAAAAAAAAGTATAAAGATATTAAGCCAGGAATTATTTTGCTTATTATTTTGCTTCTGTTAAAACTACAGTCATGGAAAGTGACAGAGCAAGCTCTAAGTACAGCTGCCCAAAGGCTGCCACACACAACCCACAACACCTCCCAGCATGCAGAGTGCCCTCACAAAAACCTCAGAAAACTTTAGACTCCTAAAGCTTTTTCTTCCTTCCATTTTAAAAAAGAATACTCTGTATCACCACATACAAACTATTTTCTGAAACACATATACATATTAAAAACCACAATATAAATACAACCCGAAAACACACCAAAAGGCAGAAATTGCAAGAGGACATGGCCCTGGCCTCGCAGTACCAACTGCTGTGTGACAGCAGCCACAGAGCACACACCTTCCCAGCCTGGTTACAGACATTGTGTAGGAGTCTTCAGTACAGGCTGTTCAAGGTCTTTTCTTTTATACAACAGCAGCTTGGCACAAAAAGCACAAGACCCATCTGAAGTTCTGCTTTCAGAACACACTGATGCACAAGCCTGTTTTTAATCAATTTTTAATCAATGTCAGTATTACTATCCTACAGTGAAACAGAACTGTGTGCAAGACCCTGGCCCCAGAGCTGGAGCAGCACAGGGCAGGGATCACCCACTGCTCCTGAGCCCCTGGCTCTCAGCTGAGCTCCCCTGGGACATCGAGGTGAGGAACAAGGATGGGCTCAGCAGCTTGCACCAGGAGGAGTGGCAGAGCCCTCAGCAGGCACCCAGAGTGCTGTGATGGTGTGTGGCAGTGGCACAGTGCTGCAGAGCCACCAGCAGCACCCCTGGGAGAGCCAGGACTCAGCTGAGCACAGCCCAGAGCCTGCCCATTGGTGTGGCACCACAAGGACACTGGCGTGGCTGAACAACTGCCCAACAACTTCAAGGCTCCAGCTCTCACCTCGTATTTTAAAAAAGGACATTTATCCTGCACTAAGGGACTGATCAAAGAGCTGTGTGCACTCACAGGAGTGAGAGAACCAATGGCACAGAACAAGATCCTGATCACACAAACTCCATCCCAGGAACAGCATCCCTTTTTAAAGCAACACAAAGGCCCACAGATGGCAAACAGCCTGAATTCAGCACTGAGAGATACAGGTTAGGACTACAAGTCAGAGGGAAATGGTAAAACCAACTCTAATTTGCACAGCAGCAGAATACATAAAGAAAGCTTGCATTTATTCCAGCTCTGTTACCCTAATTTAGCTGTGTCACAGTTTGTGCAGAGCCCATCCCCAGTCAGCACGCAGTGATTAACCTCCACTCAGCTGAATTTCTCCCATTAAATACACAACTACTTACACCAACAGTCTTTCTCCTGGACATAAACGTGTTAGTGATGTCTAGCATGAGCCACTGCTCTGGAACATTCCTACCTGAACCTCCCCAGCTTGTGAACTTCAGAGATTAAGGATACAAACACTGACCAAGCAGATACCAGCTCTGACTTTTTGTATCTGGCAGAGACCACAGAACACCCTAAAAACTGGAAGATGACAAGTGACAACACCCTGCATTTGGTGCACAGCACAGGGAGCCAAAACAGCCTACTCCTGCTTTTCTTCCCAAAACTATTTAAAGTTGCAACTGAACTTTTGCTGCTTAAATCCTTGACAAAAAAACATTTATACAAACCCAAGTTTCTTAAAATTCTGTAATCTGCTAAGATTGCTTTCCAGCTATGTGTTATCCTGCAGGAAACATTTGCAAAAAACTGCACGTATTTTAAAAAGCAGTTTGTCATCACATGGGCTAAAATAAACAGGACTGAGAAGCGTAAATTAAGAAATACCTGAATCTTGCACCCTCTGCCTCCTTTTCCTGCTCCAGCACAGCTGGCACCCCCAGACTGTCAATACCATACCTTGCCAAGCACTGCACCTCTGGGCCTCATGAACAAATGCATTTCAGTAAATACAGTCCTGAGCTTTTAGCAAACGATCAAGACATGATTTCCTCCACAGTGTGACACGTCTCTGATGGGAAGCACAAGCTTGCACAGTTTATTCAATACCACAAGAGGCAGGTCAGCATGGAAGCACAAACAAAAAAACCCAAAAAAACAGTATCTTAAAGCTAAGGTGACAAAAACTCTTATCATGAATTCTGACTTAATTAGAAAATTAAAAATGTTAAACCAAATTAGTATGCAATGGCACAGAGAAAGCATACTGCAATCATCCACACACCCATGCCAATGAAAAGCATAAGCCAAAGAATAAAAATAAAAATGAAAAAATCAGACAAAATTGGGTGAAACACGTAACCACCACAAACACGTAGTGCAAAAGCAGGTGAGATGGAAGTAGCTAACCTGACTGGTTAGGGGAGTGGCTCACCAAGTCCCGAATGGGAGGCATGCCTACAAAAAAAAGCAAGAAAATCACAGAAGTGTTACTTCAGCAAATGAGAGAACAGTCCCCAAAGCACTCACTGCTGTAAAGCCAGTCCTTAGACCCCTTCTCCAGGACAGGTTTCTCTCAGTCTCTCTGTCTGCTCTGAATCACGTTCCCCACACAGGGAGCAGGGACATGGCAACAAACTCAGCCTGGGGACGTGAGAATTAGCAATTCTGCTGCTTTTGTGACACATTTCAATTACAACCTACTTGTTACACGTTTGACATTTAATGAACCCATTCAATGTGTCCTTAAAAGTTTGATTTATACAAAAAAGAGGATATAGTCAGTGAAACCAAAACCAGCTCATTTCGGACTCTACTGACTGAGAAGCTGAGCAGTGAAGCAGAGAAGTTTTCAGCCCTGAAACTTCAGCAAGTTCCTCTCCCTGCTCTGAACAGCACATTTGCTCCACCTCCAAGTCAGGACTGTGCTGCCTGCCTGAGAAAACAGCAACGTCTGAGGATGGCTCTAAGCACATGCACAACAACCCTTCATCTGCCCCTTCCACACCCTGCTCCTCCCCTGTGCCACACAGGCACCCGACAGAATCTAACTCCATCTTTCAAACCCACACATTTTACACTGGAGACCGTGACTCTCACACTGAAGGCAACGTTCCCCAAAGGACTGCACCCTTCATCACTACTAACTGCAAATCCCAACTGCTCCCTCCTTCCCTGATCCTCCAGGAGCTGAGAACCATCCCCAGGTTACTGGAGGCACCTTTTGCTCCCAAGGGCTCTGGCTGGGACACAACTCTGTGGCTCTGCTGTGAGATGCACCAGGACAAAGGCAGATGGGAGGAATGCAAACTGGAGCCCTGCCAGGAGCTCAGTCCTGCTCTCCTGCTCTGCTCTGGCCACAGTCAAAGCAGATACTGCTGGAAATAATTCAACTCATGATCATGGAACAACCACCTGGTTATCCCAAGGTGTTCCAGAGCAGAGGTGAGCAAACACCAGGGCAGCAATCAACCCTGCCCTTCATGAGAAGCTTGCACATGGGGCATGTCAGTGAAGACATCAACTAAACTGGGAATGAAAGTGTCCTGATAAAGAGCTGCTTAGGGAGACTTCTAAAAATAACCATCTTGGCACTGGCCTGGATCTGTTTCAGGAACACTACAAGCCATGAGCTTCATTTATGTGTCTCTACTAAAAGAGCATGCCAAATGTCCTAAGAACAGCAGGAAAAACCCAGCCCACAGGCCTATCCCTTCTTCAGCTTTACTTCTGGACAAAGCACGTTGATTTTCCAAACAGGAGACAAACTGTTCACACAAAACACAAGTAAAGAGATGGGGTTTAGACCACTGATATAATTAAAAAATTATCCAACACCAATGACTTAAAATCTTAGCGTGCTCAGGGCAATTAAAGACTTTAAATTCAGCCTGCATCACCTGGCTTTTACAAAGCACCTGCCAAACCACAGCTGGAACTGGGGAGAGATCCTTTCAGGAATTACACACAAACCCACAGCCATTCCCAACTCCTGCAATTCTGACTTCAACACTTGAAGGCACAGTTTTTCTTTTAGCCCTAAAATACAGATGAGTCCCAGGAGCCACTGGTTTATCCATGGATATCCTGTCTATGCAAGCGACCTACAGATCACATGTCATCGGATTTTGGACTCCAGAGGGAACAGAGAGCACCTGGAGTTTCTGGGGGAGGCTGAGAGAGGAAGTGGGGAGAGTGAGTGGAACTGAGACAGGCAAATGACAACAGCATTTCCTTTCAGATACAAAGGTGTCAGAAAACACCAGCCCTGCTGGATGGGGCACCTCACCAGTGCCAGAGCAGAGCTTGAAACCGGCACAGAAACCCAGCACAGAAAAATCATTTGCCTCTGTCTGAGTTTAGGAAGGAACACAACAACGCATCCAAGGTTATTATTCCTGGCTGTTATTCCTGGTTTCTCCAGGGAAGGAGACCTCCCAGGCACACGCATGGCACCAAGAGAGCAGAGCTGGGTGGCCAGCCCCAGGTGGCAGCTCTGAGCTCTGCTGGGACACACGGACACCAGGAGCAGAGCTCTGGCAGGAGCTGCAGCCAACACAGACCTTGCTAAGGTGACAGAGCGATGTGGCCAGCCCCTCTGTCCCTGCAGGACCCTGAGCCTCGCTCGACACGCACCCAAAGCACCAGGGGACTGCCCAGGGCAGCCCTGGCACTGCCCAGCCCGACAAAGCCACGCAAAGTGAGCAAACCTGGGACAAATGCCGCACAAAATGGGAATCCAGCCAATTAAACACTGGGCTGGTGTTCACACAGCTAACAGAGAACAGCACACAAATCCTCTGGATACAACTGGGACACTAATCAGGCTGTGCAAGCAGTAGTACTTCTCAAATTAGTTTATGTGTGAATTTTTATTTAAATCACCACTCTGATTTAAGTTACCTTGCTACACAACTTGAGCAGTAGAGTATGCATGCTGCAGGAAAAGTTTCACCTTAATGAAAGGTAACTTTAAACATCATACAGGCCAAGCAAAGAAAATAAGCTACTTAAAAATTACCTGCTGCAGTGGTAAAGAGTGCTATCAGTATGTTACAGAAATATACTGGAAAGTATAAAAAATAATATGGGAAACATTCCTCAAGGACTCAAGGATAAACTGCTTCCAGTGCTTTGTCTACTTTCATTTTTCAGATAACTGCAGTAATCAGAACAGCCCAAAGTTTAACTCAAACTTGAAATATCAAGGCTATTTTCAGGGTTTTATTCTTTTTTTCTTTTCTTTTTTGCTAAAGGGGCTGAGAGTCACACTCTTTATAGTCTATAAAACACTGATTTTGAGAAACACTGGGAATTCAGTAAAGTCACAGAATAACTATTTGTCGGAAAAAGTTACATCATCACTGCTACCTGCACATCAAAATATAAATACAAGTATAAAAATAAGAAAGTATTAAGCATTGGTATGCTTTAATACCAAATCCCTTTGAGAAGCTAGATGCCTCACAGAAAGTTACTTTTTTCCAGACAAAAATAAATTACATTAATGTCCTGTAAAATTAACTGAGCTGCATGTTAGTGCAGTCACTGAACACACATCCTACACATGAACAGGCAAGTTCACCTGACTTAAAAGGCTATTTGAAAAAATGCATAACAAACCAAAATAACAAAAGATGATTGAACTTAAACAGCAGTAAAGGTAAAAGTGGATCCATTCTGTAATTACAACCAAGCTTCAGGAGAAAAAATGGAGAAAAACTCTGACCTGACAATCAAAGACAATTCTGATACCCTGAACAAGCTGTACCCTGGCTGGACCTCCAGGCAGGAAGTTAAAAATGAAAGCCAAGTCTCAAGGTGCTGTTAATCACAAAAAGAAATGTGCTGGAAGGAGCTCTGCAGACCACTCAGTTCCACTGCCATGGCAGGGACACCTCCCACTGTCCCAGGCTGCTCCAGCCCCAGTGTCCAGCCTGGCCTGGGCACTGCCAGGGATCCAGGGGCAGCCACAGCTGCTCTGGGCACCTGTGCCAGGGCTGCCCACCCTACAGGGAACAATTCCTTCCCAATATCCCACCTATCCCTGCCCTCTGGCAGTGGGAGCCATTCCCTGTGTCCTGTCCCTCCATCCCTTGTGAACAGTCTCTCTCCATCCTTCCTGTAGGCTCCCTTCAGGGACTGGAAGGCCAACATCAGGTCACCCCTGGTCTCTTCTCCAGGCTGAACAATCCCAGCTCCCCCAGCCTTCCCTCCCAGCAGAGCTGCTCCATCCCTCTGGTGTCTCCCTGGGTTGGTCCAGCAGCTCCATGCCCTCCCTGTGCTGGCCCAGCTCTGCAGGTGGGGTCTCACCTGAGTGGGGCAGAATGCCCGCTCCCCTGCTGCCCAGGCTGTGGCACCAGCCCATCTCTGGGATGTATCTAAAGACCTTTTTTCCTGGGATGTTCTACCAAAACTGGGCACGCCAGAGGTGCTCTGTACCACGGCCCTGCTGGGATAATGCTGAGGACAAAGACTGGGAACGTGCAGCACAGCAGAGGTCACACTGGAAGCACCACCTGCTCCAACCCTGCCGTGTCTGCCACTCACTGCTGCCAGCACCCAGCCAGGGGCTGAACTGCAGTGTGCAACCTGCCCAGAGAGGCAAAACCACCCTGCAACACTCATACCAAGCTCTGACCCAGGAAAGCATCTCCTCACAATACAGCTTCCAGTGCAAGTTCCAGCAACGCTGGCTGAAACACTCCCCGAAATCTGAAGAGAGTCGGCTCCACCTCAAGCAAAGCGAGGCAGCTGCCCTCACCTGGCTGTTTTTTGCTGCTGTTGGGCACTTCTCCGTTGCTCAGGGGCTGGTTATGGGTGCCAGCGCTGCCTCCTGGCTGGCCGTTCAGCACCTTGGGGGCGGATCCCAGGTTGGCAGCTATCCCAGGCAACTGCTGCCCGCGCTTCAGAAGCTGTTTCTGTTCCTGGTGCCGGAATCGCGGTGGTACTTCCCGGGGAGGGTACCGAGGCGAGGGCTGCTGCTGGCTGCTGGCTGGGGCCCGCTTGGCATTATTAGGAGTGCTGGTTCCTGTGGAAGTGCCGTTGGAGGCGACGGGCTGCGGCTGGCTTACACTGGTCTTGGTTTGTTCTGGCACTGCCCCCACCCCCAGGAAAAAGAAAGCGGGACAAAGTTATTCACGTGAACAGCAACTTCAAAAATGGAAGACTAAGTCAGTATTATGAGAGGTGTTTATTTATGAGGTAATGGCAGCGTTTCTGCTGGTTCAAGCTGTAACTCATCCCCGAGGAAAAGCTCTGTTATCCCTCAGTGACACACTGTCATGGCACAGCCCTGGGAGCAGGAACATGCCTTGCTGTCACTCCTAACCGAGTTATCTCAGTTACAGGATGCTGCTAACCAGCTTTCTACAGCTTTTACTGACAGATCAGCACTACACCGTTTATTTCAGCATTGAACCTTTTCTTAGAAAATGTTTAAGTATTGAAAAATCAAGTTTCCCATTTAAGTATTACATATAGGAAGTATAACTTAGGTATGAAGTTATATATAAGTACTACATATAGAAAGCTGTTCTGGCCTGGCCCAAAAAGAACAAGGGGCAAACAGGACCCACAGGACATGCTGCTCAGAGGGAGCACACCATGCAGAAGGACATTTATCCATGGGCTCAGGTGCCTGCTGCCAGCAGGAAGGGCTGCCAGCACGGGGACCCAGCCTGGCGGGACTGTGCTGGCACTGGGAAATGCCAAATGTGCAAGTGCAGCTCCAAATGACCTCAGTGCCAGCAGCACGGCCCCGGCAGGGCGAGGGGAAGGTCACAGCATGGGCAGAGGCAGCACACCAAACCCAGACGTGCCCAGAGCCCAGCTGTGGGCAGGGCAGGCAGCTCAGCAGGCAGGAGGGCACTCTGAGCTCCTGGGGAGGGACTGCTGCTGCTGCCACCCCTCCAGCTGCAGCTCAGCCCTGGCCCTCCTCACTGCTCTGATATGTTAATTCCTTGGATGAGATATGCATTAAGTGTCAATATTTATTGTGCAACTTCCCAAGATACCTCAATATTAGACCATGACCTCCCTCAGCACCAGAAATAATGCTACTACATGACTGAGAATGTAGTTTTCAGGGGCTTTTAAAAGCTTTTAAATATGCTTAAAGACCATTTTATCATTCACTTTCAGGAACCGAGTCATGGGAATACAACAAAAAATAAAAACAAACTCGAGCTTTTGTTTAAGGAATCAATTTGAATGTTGTCAGTGCTACTTATGATATAATCTCTGTTTATTTCTACTTTACATATTCTGAAAAACATGAAATATAAGCCTTTAGAATAAAAAGCCACTGAAGAATCAGCATGTGAGTTGTGTTTTAATGGAATATTGCATTTTGGCTGCTTAAGGGAAGAAGAGAATAAAAGCTTTGGAGATTCCTTGTTTGACAAATGGGCAGGCAGAAGTCTCAGGGTGAGGACACCCACCTTCAGCTGCCCCTCCCAGGGCCCCCAGCTCTCCCAGTGCACAGCTGACTGGAGAGGGACAGAACTGAGGACAGGAAGGGCCAGGACACAACTCAATTTATTGTACAGAGCACAGGGAATAGAAGGTATTGAAAGGCTATTAGATAAACTGGGAAGATGATAAAGATCACAACCATCACTTCAGATTTCCCCAGTTTAAGCTGTTGCCTATATTAAGGGAAGGCAACTGATTCCTTGCAAAATATTTTGATGCACATGATGAGACAACAAATTGTGATTCTGACTTCTGGTTCAAAACTGAACTTCACAAGTAGGAAATAACATTAAACAAATCTATTTCATTTGGTGCTTCTAAAAATTCCTTCCATTATAAATAAAGTAACTGAGAGTGACTAAGCCCTGAAGGGGGAGAGGTGCTATTTAAGCAAATTGCTGAGAATTTGTTGACAATTGCACGCAGAAGGACTTTGCACTTTTCTGTGGTCCAGCTACTGCAACCAGCCCTGAAATTAAAGCACATTTGTGCACAGTCCACAACCTGTGCCAGCAGTGGCCAAAGCACAACTTCTGGTGCTCCCCCTGTGCCCCTGCCCCGGCTGACTCCAAGGATGAGCCTCCACAGCCCGGAGCACAGTCCAGCTGAGCTGAGCTGAGCTGAGCTGAGCTGAGCTGAGCCCAGGGGCACACAGCAACCCTCCTGCAGCCCCAGAGCAGTCCTGGCCACGGCCCCAGGCAGGGACACACAGCTCCTCCAGCTCCTCTCCTTCCACTGCCACCTTGAGCAGAAAACACAAACACCCTGGCTTGAGGAGACTTTGAGACAACATCCAGCACCCCGCAACGCTGAGCCACTCTCCTGCACCGCTGCTGCTCGGGGAAAGTGAAATCATTTCCATGTGACATCCCCCGGGCGCCCAGACAGAGCTGCCAGCAGCACGCCCAGGGCACCCCTAACACTTCACTTTCCTAATCAAAGCTGCTTTAACACCAAGTGTGTTAGAACAGACCCCAACAGGGACTCCAATCCTGACTATCAAGGAGTGCAACAAATAAACAAGGTACTCGCTGCCCAGCCAGCCCTAAGGCACAGCACCAACAGCACTTCTCCAACAGCTTATGAATATTATATTTCACATACATTCTAAGCATTTGTTTCCTTAGCAAACATGGCAAATCTACTACAGCAGCAGCAAATTGTATAACACATTTGCCAGGTCCCAGGGCTAGGCTACAGAATATACAGAGTCCACAATTATATGCTAATTTTCAACTGAAATTATCCAAAGTGCAACAGAATTCCCTTGCCTTGGCTTCCCTCAGAAGCACAGAGTAAGTTTTAAGCTATAAAATTCCCCCTGTCCAACATTTTCTGCTCCAGAACTTCTCAGAAGGCTAAATAGCACATTAATATTCCAATATGGCTACTATGAATTCCAGCACCCCTAAATCATTATCTTAATATTTTAATTTGCTCTAGACCAGTTGCTTGTTAATAAAAGTTTGTTCTACACACCAGCATTTTATTTTGAATTGCATTAAGGCAGAAAGATAGTATTAACAGGCTTACAGTTTACCACAGCTAATTGACTAGCAACAGCAAGTTTACAGAAACCAGTATTAAAAATGACAGATTTTCATAAAGAACAAACCTGCTGCACACCCTCAGAGCAGGGGACGGTGGAGTTACAGTTTACAGAGAGATTCCAAAGAAAGACGCTTCCAACTTGTGTTGCTTTCCCACTCTGCAGATTTCATTAGAAAATGGAGGAGAAGCATGGTGTCATTTTACTGCTCCAGGAGCTGCCTGCCAACTCCTCCTGGAGCAGGGGCCCAGGGACTCGCACTCCCCCTCCAATAAAAAAAATGGCAGCTGCTTGAGTAACTTTAATGCAGATGGAAAACAGCTCCTGCCCGGCGCGGGGAGATCAGCTGCTCTGCTGCCCCGCACAAAGAGCAGCGCCAGGCTGGCAGGGAACCGCTGCTTCCCCCGGGAGCTGCTGCCGGAGCTGCCCCCCGAAAAGCGCCCGCTGCGGCTCGCCCCGCATGGCTGGCACGGCCGCGGCGCTGAAGGGCAAGCGGAGCACGTCTGCCTTTCAGGCTGACACACCTAAGATGTAGTGCTAGAATTTTCGTGGTGGAAAAATGGCCGCAGCTGTGAGCTCGGGAGCTGCTCTGGAAAATATCTCGTGTTTGCCAAGGCTTTAACCCCTGCAGATCCGCACGGAGGTGAGCGCGCCCTTCCCGCGGGGCTGGCGGCCACAGGCCCATCCCCTGCGTTCTTCCAGGCACCCCCGAGATTTAACAGCTAGCAGGGGAGCTTTTCCAATCAGGAAAAGCACGGTCGGGCAGGCGAAAACCCCGACAAAAGCCAGCAGGGTTTGTGCAGCCGGGCCATTCCGCTTCGCCGACAAGAACGAGCGTAAGAAGTTTCCAAGGTGGGAAATATGAGTCAAAGATTTCAATTCCACACCCAGCTATTTTTAGAGCACTTTCCGTTTCAGTGGGCAATTCAGTCGACTCTGCTCTGCGATGAAAGTGGCACTTTCTGGGCTGCAGCCACAGCCGGGCTGTGCCAGCCCACGGTGCTGCCCGAGCCCCCGCAGCCAGAGCCAGCGCAGCGCTGGGCACTGCCCATCCACCCCTGCCCACGGACACATCCAGCTGTGAGCAAAGGGCACTTCAGCCCTGGAGCACACGCAGAGCCCAGCCCCAGCTGCTCCTGAACCCTTTCCCCCAGTCAGGCTCAGCAGCACTGCCCGGGGAGCTCGGCTGGCTGCAGGGCTCTGCACCGGGAAATTTGGGATAAAGGACTGACCTGTCTGTCTGTGAGCCCAGCCCAAGCTGCTCCTGAACCCTTTCCCCCAGCAGCACTGCCCGGGGAGCTCGGCTGCCTGCAGGGCTCTGCACCGGGAAATTTGGGATAAAGGACTGACCTGTCTGTCTGTGAGCCCAGCCCCAGCTGCTCCTGAACCCTTTCCCCCAGCCGGGCTCAGCAGCACTGCCTGGGAGCTCGGCTGCCTGCAGGGCTCTGCTCTGGGAAATTTGGGATAAAGGACCTGTCTGTCTGTGAGCCCAGCCCAAGCTGTTCCTGAACCCTTTCCCCCAGCCAGGGCTCAGCAGCACTGTCCGTGGCGCTGGGCTGCCTGCAGGGCTCTGCACCAGGAAATTTGGGATAAAGGACTGACCTGTCTGACAGCTCTGACTCCAAACCCAGCAGAAGGACATATTCTGCCCTGCTAGAGGGAACACCACAACTGACAATTCTACAGTATTTTCAACAGATAGCAACTCAAGTTATACTTATTTTTTCCTAGAGTAGCTGGTACGAAAGAACTGGGGAGGCACATGATGTGCCAGCTGCTGCACAAACAGATAAACTTTCCACTTAGCAACTAACTACCAGGCTCGCCTCCAACTATCCCAACCTCTCTTCCCTCCTTCAGTAACACCAGCTGGATCAAACCAGGCAGGTCAGAGCCCCTGAAACCTGCAGGAATGCCACACGTGCATTTTTAACTGCAGTATTATGGTATTAAAATGCTGCTGGTACCAGAGTTGTTAGCATCTTTCTCATTACTTTAATTCCCAATTCTGAACAGGAAAAGCCCCAGCTCCACGAACTTCCTTGGAAGGCTCTTGTCATTTTACATGAACACTGGGAGCTGCTTCAGCTGGTACAACAGCAATTTCTTCCTTGGCTAAAACAACAGTTTGGAGCTGTCCAAACTACACTTAAAACCAAGAAATACCCTCCCTTCCTACCCCCAGCACTTAACCAGCTTCTTTTCTGAAAGAAGCACATAATTCTGAATTATTTAGAGATCCTATACACTTGTATTTTATCTTCAGCTCATGCACAGAATAAATTATTTAAGACATTAACGTGATGGAAACTTGGAAACTAATGAAACATTAATTTGCATCCTGAACACAAGGAGGCAAAACTGGTGAAACAAGGCAAGAGCCATGTGCAACACAGGCTTTGGATTTTGTTCCTATAGAAACTGTAGCAAAAAGTTGTGTATCTGCATCTCATGATGCCTTTTCTTCTACAGCACTGCCAGTTTATGTTTCTCTGACAACTCTAAATTCCTGCTGAACTTTGTAAAATACCCTTTAAATAATACCATAATTAAGTTGGAACTTAACACTTCCATCAGTGAATGCTAAGCCTCAAAGCAGAAAAAAAAATAATAATAAAAAATTTGAATTACTTTGTCCTTCAGAAGAAAGACATTCTCATTCCACGTGAACATTCCCCTGGGTAGCCTCCCAGGCAGAATTCCTGCCCTCCTGGTTCATGCTATTTTTAGCCATTTGCTCGTGCAGCCTTGGCCCTGATGTGATGCCAGTGCAGCCCAAGCACACGGGTCAAATGGGCACACCAAGTGCTCATTGTCATACAGCAAAGTACTCCAGCACCTTCCTTCTTCACTGTCTTGTCAGACATGTTTCATCACCTCAGAACAAACCCAGACATTTTCATAGTTCTTTAAATCTGGTCTATTATCCTGGAAGCCTTATGGCAGGAGTGTACAGAAGGAAACCAACCCTTAGCCTGTATTCAAACACAATTCCATGCACTGCTTCAAAAAGGGCACGCTAAAAAAACAATTGAAGAATATTTATTAACTATAACAGCCTTCCAGCAATTCAATTTAATTTATTTTATTTGAAATTGCTGTCCTGTGCCCAAAGACAAACCTGGAACTCCCAGTGGGTTTCAGTGGCCACAGGGTGGGATCCCTGCTCAGGCAGATGCAGCTCAGAGGATGGTGGGACACACAGAGCAGCTTCCATCACTGCCAGTGGCTCCAGCAGTGCTGCACTCCCTCCTGCAGCTCCCTCTGCCTCCAGCAATCCCTTTTTCCAAACCAAGCCACCAGCCTCCCTGGCAGCAGGCAGGACAGATGCCCAGCAGCACGGCTGCCCTCGCTGCCTCCCCCCCTCCTCCCACACCAAAACCCCATCGCTCCTGCTCAATCCAGCTGCTCCTCCCATGTGAGCACACCCAGCAGAGCACACCTGGAAATGCCAGAGCAGCTCTGAGTCTGTCCTGAGAGCTGGGAGCAGTGCTGCAGAGCAGCAAGGCAGTGCCTGCTCCCCTCCCGGCACACCCCAGCTGGGTCATCCCTCAGCCACCGCCCTGGCGATGGCTCTTGTGTCCTCTGCCAGCCCTTTTTGCTTTTTCCAGCAGGAATTCCATCTCTGCTAAGCAGGACTGGAGCATCTGCCACTGCCCCAGAAGTGTTAAATTAAACCAGTGTTCCCAGAAAAAACAGGGCTTCAGCAAGCACTCCTCACGGCCACCTCAGCAGCTACTGTGCACTTCCCAAAGAACAGCTGAGGAGCACAACTCAAGAGAAAGTGAAAAGAATCTTTTTCCCCTTTGTGGAAGGTGGCTGGGATGGAGATCCATACAAAGCCCACAGACAGCCAGAAAACCACAGTGCTCCCACCTGCCACGAGCACTGACATGACAGCTTTTGGGTACCAGCATCCTGGTCACTCTGCAGGGTGAGCCCTCCACAGGCAGCAGTTAAAACTGGACACGTTCATTACTTGTCCATCACGTGTTCCCAATCCCAGCTGCACTTAGAATATGTGTCAATTAAGCTTCAAACAGGTCCATTCCATACACAGTTTTCTGAAGTGTTGGTTCACTTTTCAAATAGAGCAAGAAAGGGGAAGAGAAAAAGCAAGGAAGGAACTTCAGGTATTATGTCTATGCCTGGTGCTCTGTAAGTAAGGAAGAATGGAAACCAGGAAGAGCAGCACTCCAATCCCTGGATAAACCCTTTGCTGATACTCTTCTAGGCTTTTGTGGTCACTTTGAAAAAGTGCAGCTGAAGTCTCAAGGGTCCCATCTGTCACTTTTGGGAGGAGATTTCAGGTGAAACATTTGATTCAACATATTTAAAACCCCAGAAATAATACACAGAGTAGAACTAACTGTAAAGTAACTTACCTTTGATTTTTTGTTCAATGGCCTAGAACAAGAAAAAAGAAGTGTCAGTGATTTGTGCAGATAAGAGAGAAACCACATGTACACATACCACTTCATAAAGCAACATTAGCTTTTGACTTTCCTCTTTTTAAATGGTTTCAAGTTATTTAATTATCTACTTCAGAAGCCTCTCTCTAACCAACCCAGGCCTATTATTCCTTATGTTTAAAAAGCTGTTTAAATGTTATAGAAGACAAAATTAATTTGAAAGATAACTACATGAAACAGACCAAATTAAACTTGCAAATTAAGATGTTTTAAGTGAGTTAAAAACTGTGCCTGGAAGCAAAGAGCTGCTGCCACTTTTATTGCAGAACAGGGCAGGGAAGGGGAAATGGAAAAGAATAAGTGAGCAAATGCCAAAGCTTCAAGTCTTTCGTTTGCAAGATTCACTGGGTTACACCTGCAACATGGCCCAGATGAGAGATCCATTTGAATAAAAGTTTATCACAGGATAAAATGCCTGGCCTGTGCACTGCCTGTGCACACTCTGCAGAGTTTGTACTCTGCCCCTGCCCAGCTGTGACCCAGCTCCTCAGCCTGGCTCTGGCCCACGGATGGAGAATGAGAACTCAGAACTTTTCAGAACACTTTTTGCTGTTTCTGATGACCTACAGCACCTGAAGAGATCCTGGTGGGCTCCTGGCTGCCCTCTGTGCCCAGGTGCTGGTGCCCAAGAGAGCACAATGAACGAGTTCAGGCTGGGCTCTTGCAGACCCCATCAGGGCTTGGGAGGTTTTGCTGGCAAGGCTGTGGCTGGAAACCAAACCAGTCTGCTCCTGGAGCCACAGCCAGCATCAGGCAGTGCAACCAGAACTGCTGAGCAGGCTCACTCTGCTCCTCTGAAATGGACATGTTTAAAAACTGCTCCTCTCAAGCTCAGGGTCAATATTTAGAATCAATGGCCATGATGAGGATCTTGTCAGTAAACAGGGACTCTGAAGTATTTACAAGCATTTCTGTGACATTTCCACTCCTAAACATCTTTGCTGTCAATATTTTATTTTTTATGAAATTTTATTCCCTATCATAAATTCTCTCATAGCATGTTTCCATACTGAACAATAAGAAGATACATTAAAATAAGGATGCAGCTGAAAGCCACTGCCTTAAAATGGCACTTTCTTATTCTGCTAGTAAATACACTAACACTGAGGTGCTTCAAACCTGAGACTGCCTCAACTGACCATCAGGAAAAAGAAGGGTCATCCCAGATGAAAATTTAGCTTTCTAAGAAACTACACAGAGCCAATTACAGTGTTCAGTATGTCAGTTACCTCTAAATAACTGACAGTACAGCTAAATTTAAACCACTACATTAATAAGAAAACACTAGTTTTTACTAGTGATGAAATAAGACAGCTCCAAGCACAGGGGCTTATTCTCAGTGCTCCACATACCTTTTTTTGAGCAGCTTCCTTCTTCTTCTTGTCTTCTTTTCTCTTTTTCCTTTCTTCCATCAACTGTTCTTCCTCTTCTTGCACTAAATCCCTGAACCACACAGTTTGTAATTAACTCTCCCAAAATACAATCTGTACACACTTAGATTCATTTTAGAACAATTATTTCACAGTGACATAGAGGAACTGGGGAATTTTGCCTCTAATTGGATCCTGTTTCTACAGGGACTGTCACTGTCAGGGCAAGCCACCAGTGACAGGACTGCAAGTGCAGAAGTGGTGGCAAGCTACACGTAAGGAGCTCTTTCTTCCAAAGACTTACACTCGAATTTGGTTCAAAAGCTGGCAAATTCAGATGTTATTTAACCTCTGCTGAGCTGCTGTGACTGAGCTCTGGCACATGCCAGCCCGGGGGGCTCCTGCAGGCAGCCCAAGCCCCCCAGGCTGTGCGTGTGCCCCGCTGCCAGGAGCCCAGCGTGGGCACAGAGGGCACAGAGGGCACAGCAGGGCCGTGCCAGAGCTGCCCCAGCCACAAACAAAACTGCAAGCACCAAAAGTGAACCCAAAACCTGGAACGGCCACTAGCGACACCCATTTGTGCTCAAAGCTGAGCAGGAGCAGCACTGCCCAGCAGGGCTGCCCAAAAACACGCTTCCAAAGCTTTCTGGAGAAAAAGAACTGAATGTCAGTATGGAGCAGTGGCTGCAAGGTTTGTGTCTGCCTGGAAACACTGAGCTGGCTCTGTTTTAGCCCCAAAGCACCCATAAACCTCCAGTTTTGGATAGTCTGTCAGAAGCAATGCAAATGGAATGTATTAGACCACAAGATAGTCCACAGGTACTAAAACTTTCATTACTTTTCTAGATATATAAACAACCAGTTAATTCTACTTTTAACTCAGCTCTAGTCCCTTTCGAGGCAGTGCAGGCATCAGCTTCCACTGACCAAATTCTGGCTTTTAAGATTTTCTAATAACAGAAAGCAAGCATCAGTTACTTCTTTTAAGAAAGAAGGGCTTCTGATGTGCTAAGGTATGCAAAATAATTAGCCAGGAGTGTTATTTCTGAGGGCCCCTGCTCACTGCCAGAGCAATCACAAGCCTTCAAACACAATGTGGCTATTTTGCATTTTATCACAGCTCCATCAGCTGCCTGCAAGATCCACCGAGGACGGTCTCACTGCGAAAGCCACCTGGCATTCACAATTAGGTCTCAAAAATGATTTCATGGACAACTAAGGGGTCAGAGCTAACTAGAGAAACAAGTCCAGCTGGCCAGTTCCATCAGGGCAATCCCTGGTCCCTGTGCAATCCGAGGCAATGCTTAACCTGCAGTGACATCCGTGCACTACAAAGGTGACACCTGAGTCAGTTCTGCCCCTCGCTGGCACCCCCTGAGCTGTGGAGCCCCAGGGATGCTGCTGATCCTGACCCTCAGCTGGGCTTCATGTGGGACAGTGCCCGTTTCACCAGGAATCCGAACTGGAGAACAGCACAGAGGAAAGAGCTCCCGGAGATGCACAGCTCCTTCCACTCAGAGCAGGGCCTCTGCTTTGGGAACTCCGTGCTGGGCTGGGCCTGCAGACTTACAGCATCTCCAACAACCCCAGCAGCACTTGTTTGCTGTGACAAATTTCAGTCTGTCACACGCCAAAACTGCGTTAACTGAAAAATCATTCTGCTTTTAGAAGAAAGCTGTAGCACATTCAACAGCAAGCAGAATGCAAAGTAGTATTTTCACAGGAAAAAAAAATAAAAACCCTCATCAATCCTGCTACAGTTAAATCAACACTATTACATTTCACTTTGGGAATACAGATGCTAACAACTAACATACCAATATCTCTGGAATATTCTACCACAGCATCACTGGGTTTTTGTCATAGAGGAACAACAGAGCTCCTAAATTCTGACACTGTGTTAATTCAAATTTTATCTTTTCAAGACAAACAGATTTTAGATTACAAAGCAAACTTAGGAGACATAAACTCCCTCTATGATTAGGATCAGAACTCTAGATGAAAACCATCCACCTATAGTTCATTGTAAGTTTTTAAGAGTATTAACTATCATTACAACATCAAATCTCAGAGCAAAACTAACCCAACTGGTACCACTAAGCAGCAACAGCAAAGCCCCTCCTGTCCCTGCCCCTCCCTAAAAACTTAACCCTTAGGTGAGACAGGCCTATTCACCATCCTCACACACAAACTTAAACCTGAGAGAAAAATTCACATTTGCCTCTTAAGTCACCAGAGTCTGTGCAGGACAGCTGGATTTCCATTTCTGACAGCTGGAAGCACGAGTCTCCTTTATTCTTCCAGCACACAAATGCTGGGCTCTCTCACAGCCAGCAAGTGATGGGACTGATGCCTGTGGCTCCAGCCTCTGCTGGAACACACAACAAGCTCCACTTCTGACGCTGCTCCATCCATCACCCGGACCCACAGCTCCCTGCTCCTGGGGACACCCAGCAGGAATCCGGGCTCGTGCCAACAGCACGAAGCCAGAAAATCAGCAGGTTCCTCTGCTGGGCTTTCCCCCACCCCTGGCAGACCTGATCCCCCGAGCTGGAGTGGCCTCAGAGCCTGCAGCAGCACGCTGGTCGGTGTGCTGGCTGAGGAAAAGGGGAATGCACAACCAGGACTCTGATTCCCCATCACACACCCAGCCCTCACCAGAGCACCTGGCTGAAAAAAGGGGGAATGCACAACCAGGACTCTGATTCCCCATCACACACCCAGCTGAGGAAAAGGGGAATGCACAACCAGGACTCTCATTCCCATCACACACCCAGCTCAGGAAAAGGGGAATGCACAACCAGGACTCTCATTCCCATCACACCCCCAGCTCAGGAAAAGGGGAATGCCCAACCAGGACTCTGATTCTCCATCACACACCCAGCCCTCAGCAGAGCACCCAGCTGAGGAAAAGGGGGATGCACAACCAGGACTCTCATTCCCATCACACCCCCAGCTCAGGAAAAGGGGAATGCACAACCAGGACTCTGATTCTCCATCACACACCCAGCCCTCAGCAGAGCACCCAGCTGAGGAAAAGGGGAATGCACAACCAGGACTCTGATTCCCCATCACACACCCAGCCCTCATCAAAGCACCTGGCTGAAAAAAGGGGAATGCACAACCAGGACTCTGATTCCCATCACACACCCAACGTCCTTCCCCTCCTGTGTAACGGGATTAGCTCGCTCAAGGTTAAATGGCCTCAGCAGAAATGCAAACCATATTTTTCAATTTAGATCAAGTGAAAATAAAACACCCCGGCCAGAGGAAATCCACATCGGAGACAGAACAAAGGCCTCCGGTTTCAACAGCTTAACTTGAAAGGTGCTTTATTTTCAAGTGAGGCAAAATGAAAATGGATCTTGATCTCAGGAGAGACTGCACATTTAATGGCTCTGAAGATGGGCAAGGAGACGCTGCTGTTATCTGCATAAATTTAAGCAGACCGAGGGTCAGATAAATATTTACCGTTATTTATTTAACAGAAAATTTTTGTTCCAATTGTGTACCCCAGCACAATCCTTCTTTGTATACAGGGGGAAAAAACCCAACAAACTACTAAAATGCTTTCCTCAATTAAGCTATTAAAAAAACCCAAAAGAAACAAAACCAACTTTTTAGTCTCTTAAAACAGGTTATCAAGACAGCACAAGGCATTTTATTTTTGTATGGCCTGATTTGTTATTTGGCTTCTGAAGTGGAAAAAGCTGTCATGCTCTAACTGCAAACATTTCAGGTAATATTTGTATCAAAACATGCTTCACTTATTACTTTACTTCTTGAAAAAAAATGGTACTATTAATCTTTAATTTCTAAAGCTCCAGCTTAGCATTGTAAAAATACCTGGGCTGAAACAGACATGGTTAACCTTTATTTTTGCGTTGCAGAAGAGCAAAATCAAGTTCACCCCTATTTCCCCAGGCAGACAGGCTGAGGATGCAGTAATTAATGTTTGTGCAGCTTTGCTATCTTTGCTGTTACAATTTATCAAAGTGCAACATGTTTTGCCACAATAAAATCTAAATTCTATCACCACACTGAGGAAATGATGGTTGCAAGAATGGTGAGCTCCCATCACTGGAGGGATGAACAGAGGTATGGAGCAAGCACACAAGGAAGAATAAGAAGTTATTATACACAGCAGCTTCTGAAACCAACATAAAATTTCCAGTGATGGACATATTAATTTAAAAAAAAAAATCCTTTCTACCATTTGCTCTTCTTCTAGTTATAAATTAACTTGCAGTGCCACAGGTGGAGCACTGCCAGGGAGCTACAGGTAAGTACCAGGGATTGAAAGACCTTTAACAAGTCTGCAAAGACAGCACCACGTGCTCAACTTACAGCTGATCTTCTACACAGACTTTCAAATGCTGCTGAGACTGATAAATCTTCTGTATTCTGACCTACCAGTTCCCTCATCTTTCAGTTTTTTGACACAATTACATAAAATTGCCACCGAACATGATTTCAGGGGGTTCTGTAAAAACCAACAGCTAGCTTTCCTACTCACCAGCATTCTACAAAAGCCAATTATAAAATGCATATTTTGATTAAAATGGGATTTCTTCATCAGTGCCATCCACAAAAGAGCACACTACACCAAAGGAGCACTCGGAGTTTATGAAACAGACGTGAGTACTTTGAAGTTAACAAAATAATCCAAACAAACCCTGCCAGTGCCTCAGATGGAAAGGCTCTGGCACCTGAACCCACCCAGCGTGTTCCTGGGAGCACGGAGAGCCTCAGGCAGTGAGAACAAAACAAACCCACTCATTTCCAGACGTGTGTGTGTGTGTGTTCTTCCCAGCTATTAACAGAGAGGAGAGGTGCTGCCAAGCTAAAAACTGGAAAAAAATACTTCAAGGAATAATTAATTAGAAAATGTGTATCGGCTACTTTCTTTTTTTTTGCTTTTAAATACCTCAGGTGGTTAAATTTCCACCCTAAAAGAGAAGGGGCAGAATTCTACCTGCCACGTCTGGCACTGCCCATCACCTGGAATCCACCCAGCTTCCCCACTGCCCTAACACAGAACAGAAGGATGCTCCCTAACACAAGGACTACAAATGGACCACAATTCTGGAATATTTGTGCTGGTTCTGCCCTCGAGTTTCACCCAAGATGCTCCTTGCTGCACAAGCAGATGAAGGACAGACCTCTTTCCCAAGGAGTTTATCTTCCAACTACACGAGAGTCCAGCAGCAGCCATAAACAATCCCTATCTTCCTGTGACAAACAGGAACCAGGAAGGCAGATTAAACTGCTCCTCCACAATCAGCTGCTCGAGCCCAGCAGCAGCACTGCTCCAGGCTGCTGCAGTGCTGCTGCTGCTGCAGAGGCAGCACGGCCTGCACAGGGGCTGCTGCGACCCCCACACACCAAAGGGACCCTCGGGGACCACCTGGCAGCCCTGCACAGCCTCCAAAGGTGCCTGTGGAGCAGGAAGGGGGGTGTCATTTTACCCAGGTGTCTGCAGAGACCCTGAAAGCGTGAACAGAGTGTTTTCTCTGCAATGAACTCTTCCCATCTCACAGCAGACATCTCTCCATAAGAAGTTTGTCAGGAAAAAGACCCCCAGAAAACCAACAGAAAATCAAATGCTTACTCATCAACAGAAACAACTACATTTCTCCCTGGTTTATGTGTCTCTATCACTGGGCCAGCTCTGTGCTTTCCGTGCAGCAGATAAGAAAAATATCACAGAAATATGGCAGTTATTATTACATGAAAGCGTAAAAATCAATTGCACAGCAATAACTTTACAGAGCACATGGATGAAAGCTAGAGGTGAGAAGCTTGCTCTCCCAAAACATGGCCAGTCTGCAACCAAGGTGGGCAGAACCACAGGGGAATGGAAGCAATGGAGACTCTGCCCCATGGTTTGCATGCTTGTGAAGCAACAGCCAAACCCCTGGGTTTGGGAACATGATTGTCAACGTATTTCAGATATTTACCTTCTCTCAGTTCCACATAAATGAGGCAGGAAAGCCCTGTTTACCAAACAGAATTGAAAAGTTATTGCTTAAATCAGAAGAACTAAATGGTGATTTTTAGCAGTCCTGATCTTAACCAAGTTTAACTCTTAGATTTCCCCAGTTAGCAGCAGACAGCTCTTGTTGTGGCTGATCAGGTGACATTTAATTTGTAACGTGATGCCACAACAGAGTGTGGATGGATTTATGTCAATCACTGCTGCAAGTCATGCACTAAGCTTATTTTTGAGGCCAGGAATATTTGCACAGCACCAGGCAAGTATGAATTTTAGAGAGAACACAGACCAAATGAGGATTCTTTTCCAAAAGGCCAGACAAGCCAAATGCTAACCCTGAGTGTAAAACAGGAATCACCCCAACGGGATAAGCAAGCTGCACTGAAAGCTGCAATACTTTTCCTATCACAGTCTAGGCCAATATTCCCAGTAAGATTAAAAAGTGTATTTGCCACCCATTAATTTATAAGCATAAACTCCAGAAGTGACTTCAGAACATACACACAAAACAAAGCCAACATCCCGTGGAGTTCACAGTCTACATCCACACTGTGAAATCTGAGATTAACATAAACTCTAGCACAGGTCTGTGTACCTTCCAGGAAAGGATATTTGCTCTTTTACAGTTCGACAAGGTCACTGCAAATTTAATAAGCCTGTAAATAATGACACTGGGGGAAGAACGAGGGCTATCTGCTGAGCTCTACCCCAGTAAAACAATTAATCAGGTCTATCCAGCGCAGGCATGCCACGGTTTATCAGCTGTGTGCTCACACAACAAGAGCTCCCTGGCTAAACATAAACCAGCCAGGGCATTAATGTGAACTTCAAACCAGTTCTGAATCTTTTAAATGAGTAAAACACACTCCTCTGTGTCAGAGAGACATGGGGACCAGTTCCACAGCAGAATTTACTCTCCAAGCACCGAATTTTGGAAGTGCTGTCGTTTTCTTTCACTTCCTCTCACTCTCAGCACTGCCTGCCAGCACGACAAGATCTCTGCTAAGGTCATAAAAATGTGAAGATCTCCTGACTTACTACGACTGGCACCAAGTAGTGCTCTGAACTCAGCACTCTGTCACTCTGAATAACACAGTTCTGAAATCACTTCTGGCACGGCAGCCTGGACGCTGATGGGTTAACAGCAACGTGCCAAAGGTACCTCAGAGGTTCCCAATTATTCCCTGTATTTCAACAACAACGTGGGAAAAACCATTCACCGTTAAGTGCATTACCAAAAAAACAAAAGGAAGCAAAGCAGTTTTCAGTTTTCACAGTCCAACCGCAGCTCACCCTGGAAGCTGGAGACTGCTCGGGCACAGGAAAGGAGGAAGAAAGCAGAGCACCAAACCTGAGGGTCTCCCAGCTGTACTCAGGGTTCGGGCACATCTCAGATGGCCCCAGTGGAAACCCCTTTAACAGATCACTAGCAAAAGGCCTTTAAAGGTCTAACTGAAAAAGAACCCCAAAAGGAAGTAGGACAGAAGTTGAAAGCAGAGAATGTAACCCACAGAGCAGGTACTTGTGAGAAAGTCACCTGACCAAAACCAGAAGAAACAACTACTTAAATACTAAAGTGATACACCTTACGGCACAGAATTCTTCCTTCAACGTGACTCTGAACTCCTGAGCTAAGGAGTTAACTCCCCAGCCCATTCTGTTAAGTTCTCATTCTAAAAACTGCACGTAAACAGGAAATTCACCAGCTAACTCTTCATGGCTAAAGAGGCACAGCCAGTGGTTACATGGCAACACGGACTTTATTCCAGTTCTTGCCACAACTGTCTTGCCTCCAAACAATATTTGGCTGAAGTGTATGAAAGAACCCCAAACCCTTCACTCATTTTTCAGTTATTGCTAGGTACTACAACTTAGTGCAGAAAAGTTATTTTTCTCTTCAAAAACTTCCCCTGTTAAAGAAACTGTATTAAACATCTGAAGTTGTTAAACAAAAAAAACAGCTAAAAAGGTGTTTAGTCTACAGAATTAACTAAACTTGCAGACATTTCCCTATGCTACAGAGAACGTTTTCAAATTCAGAGGTTTTTTTTTTTTTTTATTCCTTACAATTAACAAGAGATTAAAGCTCCCGATAAAGCCCACAACTACTCCTAGCCCTAGGCCACCTTTCCATCCAAATTGTGGGAGGGAATTTAAATGAGTCTCTTACCTGCTTAGTTTTCTTTCGACTTCTTTGGTAGCTTTAGCTTCCAATTCTCTGCAACAGAAAGTGGTATTGGTTTCCATGTCAACAGCAATGCAGCAGGAAAATAAAACTGGCGCGGGTCAGGATGCACGGGGAGCTCCAGGCGGGGTCGGTCAGGAGGGATGGGGCGAGCACGGACGGGCGTCCCCAGGGCGGCCGAGGGGAGCGGGCACACCTGCCGGTGCCGGACAGCGCCGGTGTGTCCCGGAGCATCCGTGTCCCCGGAGCATCCGTGTCCCCGGAGCATCCGTGTCGTGTCCCCGGAGCTGCCGGCCCGCCCGCGCCCCGGAGCCCCACACCCACCCCGCGCCCTGCCTGCACTTCACCGCCTCAAGGACTTCAAGGAAAACGATTCTGCTGCATCACTTCGGCCGCCAGCGCGGTGCCGGCGCGCCTCGAGCGCGGCACCGGGGCGCTCCGTGCCGCACCGGGACGCTCCGTGCCGCACCGGCGGCCCCGGGCGCTGCCGGCCCCGCAGAGCGAACTCCGAGCTGGGGAGGGCACGGCTCGGCCCGGGGCGGGGGGAACGGGACGCGGCGCGGCGCCGCCCGCCCGCCCCGGTACCTCATGTATGTAAAGTGCTCGGAGTCCGTCCCGGAGGCTGCGGCGCGGGCCCGGCGCGGCCGGCGGCTCTAGGCGGGCTGAGCCCGGCGCTGCGGAGCGGGAGGGCCCGGCAGCTGCAGCCGCAGCTCCGCCGCCATTTCCTGCCGCCGCCGCCCGCCCGCCCCGCGCGCAGGAAGCGAACCCGCCCCGGCCGCGCTTCCGGGGCGCCGGCACGGGGGGAGCGGGGCCGGGAACGGGGGAGCGGGGCTGGGAACGGGGGAACGGTGGAGCGAGACCGGGACGGGGGGAGCGGGGCCGGGAACGGGGCGAACAGAACCGGGAACGGGGGAGCGGGGCCGGGAACGGGGTCGGGAACGGGGCCGGGAACGGGAGGAGCGGGGCAGGGAACGGGGAGAGTGGGACCGGCATGGGGGGAACGGGACAAGGAGCGGGGGAACGGGGCAGGGAACGGGACCCAGGAGCGGGGCCGGGAACGGGGGAACGGGACCCAGGAGCGGGGCCGGGAACGGGGGAACGGGACCCAGGAGCGGGGCTCCCCGGCATGCAGGGAGCGGGATCCCGAGCCCGGCCCGGGCCGCTCCTCGGGGCTGGGGGCACGGGAGCCTCGGGCCGGGTCCCGTCCGAGTCTCGGGTCACGGAATCATCCCTTGGGCTGTGCCAGGGAGGCTCAGGCTGGAGATCAGGGAAGGTTCTGCCCCAGAGGTGCTGGCACAGCCCGAGCTCCCGGGAGCTCCGGGAGCCTTTGGCCAGGGGATGCCAGGGTGGGGTTGCTGGGGTGTTCTCCGCACGGCCAGGAGTTGGGCTGCATGTCCCTGTGGGTCCCTTCCAGCTCAGGAGACTCTTTAGTCTGTGATCAAGGCTGGGAGAGACCTTTGTGATCATCCAGTCCAGCCTTCCAGCAGCGCTGCCACCGCAACCCCTACACCCCAAAACGACATCACCACTGCCACATCAGATGCCTCTCAAACACTCCAGGGATGGGGACTCCACCACCTCCCTGGGCAGCCCCTTCCAAAGCCTGACCAGCTGAAACGTGAAAAAAACAATTTCTAATGTCTAATCTGAGCCTGCCGGGGCCGGGAACGGGGGAGCGGGGCTGGGAACGGGGGAACGGTGGAGCGAGACCGGGACGGGGGGAGCGGGGCCGGGAACGGGGCGAACAGAACCGGGAACGGGGGAGCGGGGCCGGGAACGGGGTCGGGAACGGGGCCGGGAACGGGAGGAGCGGGGCAGGGAACGGGGAGTGTGGGACCGGCATGGGGGGAACGGGACAAGGAGCGGGGGAACGGGGCAGGGAACGGGACCCAGGAGCGGGGCCGGGAACGGGGGAACGGGACCCAGGAGCGGGGCTCCCCGGCATGCAGGGAGCGGGATCCCGAGCCCGGCCCGGGCCGCTCCTCGGGGCTGGGGGCACGGGAGCCTCGGGCCGGGTCCCGTCCGGGTCTCGGGTCACGGAATCATCCCTTGGGCTGTGCCAGGGAGGCTCAGGCTGGAGATCAGGGAAGGTTCTGCCCCAGAGGTGCTGGCACAGCCCGAGCTCCCCGGAGCTCCGGGAGCCTTTGGCCAGGGGATGCCAGGGTGGGGTTGCTGGGGTGTTCTCCGCACGGCCAGGAGTTGGGCTGCATGTCCCTGTGGGTCCCTTCCAGCTCAGGAGACTCTTTAGTCTGTGATCAAGGCTGGGAGAGACCTTTGTGATCATCCAGTCCAGCCTTCCAGCAGCACTGCCACCGCAACCCCTGCACCCCAAAACGACATCACCACTGCCACATCAGATGCCTCTCAAACACTCCAGGGATGGGGACTCCACCACCTCCCTGGGCAGCCCCTTCCAAAGCCTGACCAGCTGAAACGTGAAAAAACAATTTCTAAAGTCTTAATCTGAGCCTGCAGTGTCTCAGCTTAAGGCTATGTCCTCTTGTCCTCCCTCTGCAGCACGGTGGAGGGGATGAACCCCACCTCAGTACACCCTCGAGGCCGGGGAGCAGTGGGGTCCCACACACCGAATCAGTGTTTATTTATCCCGGTCACACACAGGAATTCCAGGCGCTGTCTCATCAAGCAGAACACAGTTGTTCCCCAGGTGATGCAGGACAAGGCACGGATGGACATAACATCCATACAATTTCTAATGTCTAATCTGAGCCTGCCGTGTCTCAGCTTAAGGCCATGTCCTCTTGTCCTCCCTCTGAACCCCACCTCAGTGCACCCTCGAGGCCGGGGAGCAGTGGGGTCCCACACACCGAATCAGTGTTTATTTATCCCGGTCACACACAGGAATTCCAGGCGCTGTCTCATCAAGCAGAACACAGTTGTTCCCCAGGTGATGCAGGACAAGGCACGGATGGACATAACATCCATTTCCATCCCTGTGTGGGGCAGCTCCCCCAGGGTGAGCCTGGGGCATCAGTAACTGGCAGATAAAAGGAGTTAATGTCTAAATAATCACACAGATATTTCTCTAAACCTTCCACTGACTGTTGGGTTGAGGGAGGGAATAGAAGAGTCCCCAGCACTGGCAAACTTGGTGAGAGATCGATGTATGTGAACATGGGGCTTAATCCAAAACACACAGAGAAACTTCAAGTACAGCGAGTGAGGAGTGAGCCACGCTCTGTTACTGCACTAGGCTTCAGTAACAATATCACAGAAATTAGAAACATCAGACCAAAGGGCTGATGATGGATTGGAATTGAGAGCGGTAATGTCAGAGCACACAAAACTGAGAGTGGACAAGAATTCCCAGTGAATGGTTCTGCAGCTGACAAGCACTCCCAACCAAGGTTTTGTTGCCATGGGGAAGTTCTCGCTCTCTCCCAGGCTCCAGCTGCACATTGGCAGCAGCATTTTCCAGCCCAGTTTTTGGCCTGTACCGTTCTTACCAATGCTGCTGAGAAGAGGAATGCTGTTTGATCCCTCTGTGAGACAAACGGGTGCCCTGGGAGCACGAGCCTTATCCCTGGAGATCTGCTGCAGCATCCCGTCCTTCTGCCAGCATGAGCAAAGTACAGCGCTTTTCAGCTGGAGGAGATCCTCCAGCATTAGAGGCAATATTTCTGACAATGCAGAGTAGCCAGCGAGGGTATTTTTGTCCTTAGAGGCTCAGTAAAATGCAGAGTGCATCGCTGTGAGCTGAACAGGCACAGCCCTGAAGGGCAGTTTGAAATCAGCTCCTCAGTGTCTTGTAATAACTTGTAAGTTAATCTGGTCTTGTTTATTTTTCTTCATGTGAAAAAGTTTGGACTGTCATGTAATTGTGTGTAACTGAAAGCCATTATTTCCTGAAGTGTGACTCAGCTCTCTCTCGCTGTTCCATTCACAGCAGCCCTGTTTCATGTCTCTTTGGAGGCACTACACGTGGTGTAGGAGGGCTGCTGTTAAGTCTGTCCTCAGTTGGGAAGGCTGATGAATTCATTATGTACTTCTGTTATGTCAGTTTGTTAACTGTATTGTGCCACTGTCAATAAAATTCATAGTCAAGGTCTGCAGCTTGCTTTATTATTTTAGATTGTTCTCTAATGTTATTTATGCACGTGCTCCTAGCAACTAGACTGCTGCAGCAGTGGCTTTCTTTCTGCACGTAAGTGCTGCAGCAGGGTCTGCACCACCAGCAAAGCCTCTGCAGGAACCAGCCCTCCATCACTTACCCCGTCATCTCCTCCTTGCATCAGCCTCATGAGCTCACCTCTCACCCTCACAAGCAGCGTTTTGCTCAGTTCTGACACGTATGAAACTGGTGAATTCCTAGAAGCACCAGGGAAATCCAGGAATCCTCAAACAGGAAGAATGTTTTCTTCTAGAAGAAGCAGCAGATTGAGCTTCACCCAGCAGAAGCCCATCATCCAAAGCAGTGGTACTGGGTGCTGGCTGGAAGCAGCACTCAGGTGTCAGCCACTCCTGGTCTTAGCCTTAATAGGTGCTGAGCGTAGAGTTATTTGGGAACTGGGGTTCTGGAGGACTTTCTCTCCTGTTTACTACAGTTCTTTGGTTTGTGCTTTGTCCCTTGGTGCTCTCTGATGCTTGGACCTCTGGACTTCTTTGCCAAGGACCCAGACTCAGATTCTGCCAGCAAAGAGACAGCAAAACACCTCTGTGCTTAAAATGATGCTCATAAGCAGCTGGCTTGGGAGCTGCTTTCAGCCTGAAGGGTAGACGAATCCTTAGCCCCCATCTGTGACACATCCTTGCTTCTCTTCCTCATGGGATCCCTGCCCCAGGACCCCCTGTGCTCCTGTGGGAAGGAGCACTGGGGAAATGTGTGCAGGGAGGAACCAGCTCGTGTTCCCCACCGTGCTCCCTCCTCATGCCCTGCCCTGAGCTGGGTTTGCACGGCTCTGCAGCACTCCGGTCACACGTGGTGTTAGAAACCAGGAATCATGGAAAGAACTCCTCCAGGGCAAAGGGCCGGCCTCACTCAGGCAGCTGCCAGGGCTGGAGCCGTGCAGTTACACTTTCACCACTCGGCAAACATGCCCTCGTGGGCACTGATCCCCAAATATCCTCTCCCAGCAACAGCAGCCACCTGCACCCTGCCAGCCTGGCACACACACGGGTCCTCCCATCGTCACATCCCCGTTCACTTTTCAATTAGGATTTTCATATCATCAGAGCAAGAGGGAGGCAGAGAAACGCACTGCCTGAGAACAGTTAAAGAGAGCTGGCGCCATTTCAGCCTTCCCATCCCCTCCGCCCTTCCCCTTCAGCTGCAGTTTGCTCTCGAGGCAAGGGAAGCCGACATGTTAGAAAATACTTTCTGCCTCACGTCTGGGGAAAACAGAGCTGGGGCTGTCTCAGGAGAAGCTCGGGCCTGGGGACGGGGGGGATTTGCCATCGGTAACTCACAGCCATTCAGCATCGGCACAGAGCGGAGCCGCTGTCAGCGGCAAAACAGAT